TTTGGAGCCTCACTAAGTTTTTGACAGGTAATAAATGTTTTCAGTTTGTAGTGATGTGTTATACACTTACTACCATTTCCTTCTATGATCTGCATTGATCACTAAGTCTAGGCTCCTTAAGAATAACTCTCCTATAATTTCTAGTAGAAATGACCTGGTCCTAAAGTGCTATCATAAACCCATTTCCATGAATCTGAATAACATTTATTTGACACTTATTTTTATAACATTTGACACTTATTACAATATATTGTTGACCAGGGATGTCAAGCATGAGAGACCCTCCAATAACAGTGTTGCACGTTATCTGTTTTGTAGGTGCCTTCTGAAGGTAAAGCATTTTCGGTTACATGTGACAAATCCAATAGTGAGTACTTGTCATCAGCCTTTACCATTTTCTGGAGAAATGATGTGTGCATATTCCAAAAGTATCTATGTAGGTTTGTGACCTGTTTATCATATGTTCTCAGAATGTCTTTCAATTCTCTTCCATCTTTTGAATGATTAAGTATTAACATTTCTATAGCTGCCTTAAGGCGATGAGCTCTGTATTTTATTTATATTTTATGAATTTTTGTTAGGACCAAATATGATATAGTTCATTGTATAGTTCCAAAAGTATGCATGAAGAGTGGTATTTTATAAGTGTTGATTGTTTTAAATGTTTTCTTTGAATTCAGCTTTCATTTTAGGATGCTAGTAAATCTTAACATATTCAATAACAGTCTCAATATATCTGCCCTGGGGGACACTAAGGGATTTCTAGGTATTGCCTTCATGGCTTGGTTCAATTTGACCACCAAATTCAAACTCCAAACCTTCAAGTCTTTATCTTTAGTGTATATTAATTTTACACCTTCTGAATCCAAATGACATTTTTATATCATTGGATAAAGATTCAATGACATAAAAGAGCTATTTAATGTGCGTGTGTGTGTATGTGTGTGTTTTTTCTTTTTGGTAGAGCTATATGGTATAACGCTATCCATGTATGTCAAAGGATAAATAAAAGGTTTGGTTTGACTCCCTCTTTAACTTGGCAGGCATACTTGATTCTTTTTAGGTGTCATGATAATGGCAATAAAGCTAGGCAGAACCATGATGGGCTTAAAATGTTTCCCTGAAAAATGCCATGTTTTATATCAATAGTTTACAGCATATTATAATGGTATTTAAAGAGAGTAGTTTTCCATGTGTATACCAATATCAAAATGTTCTCACTATAAATAGATTTCTTTTATATATTTGTAGTACATAAGTATGAAACTGAGTTAAAAGCTGTACAATTAATCAATAAACCCAATACAAATATTATGGTACTTTGGGATGGTATCTTCAACAATTACTGAAATGATGATGGAATATCCTTGGGACTTTTTTGACACACCCTATTTGCTCCTTAGCTAATATACTATTTTCTTGTACTTAAAGATTTTTTTGGTTATATGAGTGCAATGCTTTGTATAAAATACACACATAATTGGAGGATATTTGGAGATGTCTTTGAGGTTCTTATCTTTTGGTAGCAGATATGCAATGCTTTCTGTTAAGAAAGCTGGGGATCAGGCTAAAATCTGAGAGGAAGCTGGTAAAACCCTTTGCTAATGGTTAATTTGCCAGTATGAGCAACTAAACCAGTAATTAGGGATCTCATCTGGCCTCACCACTGTCTAGTTTTGAACAACAACAACAACAAAAAGCTACTGTTTCAGTCACCTCCCTCGGTGAAACAGTTCTATCATTCACTGCATTGAATGCAGAAGCTTTCTGTTTTGTACTTGACAGAACTTGAATTTTTGTTGCATTGGACATATTGCAACCATATGAATAACCAGAAATTTTCCACGTCTTCCTTCTTGGGAAATTGTTTTTAAACCCCATAGTTTCCTTCTTTCTCTTTAAAAGTTTTTGATTGACAATGAATTGTTTATTTCGCTGTTTGTGTAGCTTTGATTCCTAATATTGATTCTATTCTTTTGGCTTTTGCTTACAACTTTTTTTTTTACAATTTTTGTTTATAATTATGGATTAAAGTAATATAGAATTCTGACATACTTGTGTTTTTCTAATTCCATTCTGCATATTCTTTTGTTGTTGTTGCCTTTAAGTGGGTGATATGATTTTTCAATTTTCTATAGTAAATACCAGTTAGATAATGATGCAATCTACCACTGCCTTTCTGTAGATCATCAGTGATTATCTCAAATTGGTTTGCCATGGTGTTTGATACCTGTCACTAAAGTATTCTTTTCTGGCTCTACCTTTCCTCCTGTGGTTCTTATCCTGGCACTGTGTACAGAACATGAAAACATTTTATATGTTCTGCCAAATATTTTGAAAGAATGTATTCTTGATGGCTATAGCAAATACCAATTTTTAAAAATTAGCTATTTTGGTATAATTTGTTTGCTAGGCATCAAACTTAAAAAGGGCTTTTTAAATTCTAGTCTAAGTATATTCTTCTACTTTTCAAAATCACTTGTGATATCAATATTGCTTTTAATCATCATTAGGTATAATTTCTAGCATTTGCATTAAGTAAATATTTTCAATGATCTTAGATTCTTTAACTTTTATCTCCTCAATTTATAGTAGCTCCTTGATTTCTTCTCCTAATTTATCTAATCTAGGTTTAGAGATGATGTTATTTCTGGTTATTTCCCTGCATTGCTCAGCAGTGTATTATATGATTTGGAGCTGACAAAAAGCAGTATGAAGCCCTTGCCTATAAAGTTGGGGACAGAATCTATTATTTCATTGTCATAGGGAACTCCCAAATAAGGAAAGGTGCTCAGCACCTTTTCTGTAAGTTGTAGTCTTAGACATTTGCCTAGAGAGCGCTTCGAGGTTAAATGATTTGACCAGGTGATCACACAATTAGTATGGATGCAGGGCTTGTTGGTTTGAGACTGGCTTTCTATTTACTGTCTTACGCTACTTTGAAGGAGATGACACTTGAGCTGAGCTTTAAAAGGAGGCAGCAGATCATTCTATGTATGAAGGGCTGTGTCTAAAAGAGATGAAATATTTGTTACACATGAAGAACAGCAAATAGGTCAATTTGGCTAAATGGTAGAATGCACAGAAGGGAGTGATATGAATTAGCTTGGAAAGATAGGCAAGAGCTAGGTGGTAAAAGACTTGAAATCCCAAAGAGATGGGTTTGTATTTTATTCTAAAGACAGTAGGGAGACACTGAAACTTCTAGAGTAAAGCACTCACAGCCAAACACGCACCTTAGGAATGCCAACTGGGCAACTACAGAGAAAATGGATTTGGAGAGGGGAGAGACTGACACAGGAAGGTAAATTAGGTGTCTAATTTGTGTTCTGAAGGTAACAAAGAAGTTCATTTCAGTTGTTTTCAGTTTTGTCCAACTCTTCATCATCCATTTGGGGTTTTCTTGACAAAGATACTGGAGTAGTTCCATGTCCTTTTCCAGCTCATTTTATAGATGAGGAAACTGAAGCAAACAGGGTTAAGCAACTTGCTAGTAAGTGTCTGCGGCCACATCTGAACTCAGAAAGATGAGTTTTCCTGACTCAGGGCCTGCCACTCTATCTACTGCACCACCTAGTTGCATTAATTAATAGAGAGGGCAGAGAGTTAATTAATGCTAATTAACTTTGTAATAGGCACGTCTGATTTCCTTTGAATTTAGAATATTTTATATTCACTGATATTAACTGAACACTTAATATATGCAAGACACTAGAAATAATAAAGCTATGTAGAAAAGACATGTAAAAAAAGATATAGAGTTACACTAATTTCTCGTATTGATTCCCTGCATCATTCCTTATGTCATCTCTTCCATGGTACATGTACAGTTTCATCTCAGGCTGATGTAAAGCATCAGTCTATGCAGAGTTACACTCTCTAGTTTAACTTAAGCCATTCTTGGTGGTGCTTGAACATTTTGATTCCAAAGAGCTTTCCTGGTGGGTTGCATTCAAAGTAAGAGTAAAACTAAAAAAAAAAAAGATGTGTCATAGATGATACACCTTATTATGTAAAGTAAGTCAATAAGATCTTGAAAACACAATTTTCTACAAATTAGTCATAGGTGGTATTCAACTAAGTCAGCAAATCTGTTAATTCCTTACTGGGCATTTTGAACTGGAGGTCTTATAGGTATCTTAAACTCTGTGTCCAAAACAAAACTCATTATCTTTCCCTTTACACCCACCTCTCTTCCCAACTTTTCCAGTGCTGTTGAGGGTACTACCATCCTCCTAGACACCTAAATTCACAGATGTGGTATCATTTCAACTCCTCACTCCCATTCATCCCATATATCTAATCAGTTACCAAATCTTGTTTCTACCTCTACATCTCTTGCAAACATCCCCTTCTCTCCACTCAGTCACCATGCTAAATTCAGGACCTCATCATTTCTCACCTGAACTATTACAGTAGCCTTCTAATTTGTCTTCTTACCTCAATCCTCTTCTCATTTTAATCCATCTTCCACACAGCTGCCAAAGTGGCTCTATTAACTTTATGGTCAATATAAATTCCTTCTTCAGGCATTATAAGCTCTTCATAATCTAGCCCCTTCTAACTTTCGCAGTCTTCTTGTATGTTACTCTCCTATACATCCTCTACGTTCCAATCATACTAGCTTAACGTTCTTCACACATGATACTCTTATCTCCTGTCTCCATGCCTTTGCACTAGCTGTCCTCCATGCCTGAATACTTTCCCTTCTCACTTCTACTTAAAATTATTGGCTTCCTTCAAGACTCAGCTCAAATCTCAACTTTCATAGGAAGCTTTTGTAGGTTGCATTCCATCTACTTAGTATATATCTTGAACGTACACACACACATATTCATATATATGCATACACACATATTTATGTTATCTTCACCACTAGAATAACAACTCTTTAAATGCAAGGACTGTTTTTTCTTTGTGTCTCTATTGCTCAGCACAGTGCCTTGCACACTTAATAAAGGCTTTTTGAGTGACTGATTTCTAGAACTATAAAATATTACCTGTTTGTTGGCTTTTAACACTGCCCTCAAGGTGGCTATCTGCTCCCGTTTTGTGCTCAGCAGTGACTTTAATTTCAAAATCTCTTCCATCAAGGCTTCCTTATCTTTATCTATCATTGGTGCCAGTTCTCGTGCAGCTGCCCGTTGACGTGACAGTTGTAACGACCGGTCCACTGCTTTCTGTAGGTGTTTGATTTGGTCCCTAATAATGGCATTGAGGTTGTAGATATTCATTGGTTCTTTTCGAATATCACTGGTGTCTGACACTGGGGATGAAGGAGGGGCAGTAATGACAGGGGAGATTGTTGGTGTTTTAGTTGGACTTTGTTCTTTGTTGGCATCTGTGTTTTCCTTCAAAACTGATTCTGATTGGGTCCTTGTTTCTACTGGTGATACAATACTCCTCCTGGTGAGCCGTGGTGACAGAAGTCCCCTGGGATCATCAGGTCCTTTTAGGCTTCCACTGCGGGTTACTCTACTTTGCCTATAATAGTCCAACATGACCCTATTGGGAGTCTCATTATTACACAGACATACATGGTGGTAAAGCTGAGCTAATTCTTCACTAAAAGTTACAAGCTCATCTTGAGCTGTGTTAAGGGTATTATGGTTTTCGTTGGCTATACTCGTCATCCTTTGCAACTCGTTTTCTATGTGGACCATTTTCTCACCGCTTTCCTTTGTAGTTTTCTCTAGACTTGTCACCTGCTCATCGTACATTTGAATCCTGCTCTCATACTTGGCCTTCTCTTCTGTGTAGTTTTCTACATACTTATTACATTTCTCTTTCAAGGCCTTAATTTCAGCCTTCAGGTCAATCACTTCTGTAACAGCAACCTTATATTTGCATTCGAGAATCTCTAAGCCATTGATATCAACTTCATAGTCATGGGCTTGTTCCCCTGAGTCCCTGCCCTTCTCACAATCCAGCTCTGCCTTCAGCTCTTTGTCACTCTGTAGGCCCTTCATGGCATTGACACGTTCTGTGAGCTTATGAACCCGCTCATGCTGTTCTGTCAGTGCCCCCTTTGTGTGTTCCAACTGAGTTTGGGACTCCTGAAGATTGGCCAGAAGAATGGCTTTTTCTCGCTCTACCTGTAATAACAAATGAAAATCTATTAATGATTGAAATGTAAAACCCTAAGCGATGGATTTCATGCATCTTCAGGATTTTCCTGAGTATAAACTCAGGTATTCATGGGTTTCCCAAAACAATAGCAAAGAATATGCTACCAATATTTAAACTTAAGTTAGCATTTTTTGCCCCTTCTTATAACACCAACTTAAAATTCCTCCTGCATTTACATTAACATTGGTGCAGAACTATGCTGTATACATTATACAATCACAATTTTATATATCACAGGGACCTAGATTCACAAAATGGCAAAGCCATTTAGCTAATCTAATTGCTTTAAATTTTTTTGTCTTTTTTTACAAATCATAATATGATTGAGATATATAAGAGAGGCAGTCTATTGTAGTGGGAAGAACAAAGGGGTCAAATCTTGACTTTGCTACTTACTACCAATGAAGTAGGTGCCTTCAATTTTTGAACCTCTGTTAAATGAGTGAGTTGGACTAGATAGTATTAAAGGTTCGTTCTAGTTTTAAATCTACGACAGTATGAATGATATTTGCTTTTTAAAAATTTGCCACACTCATTCTCTGAGAAACGTGGGAAGAAATGCATGAATTGATGCAGAGTGAAATGAGTAGAACCCAGAGAAAAATGTCTACAATAATACTACCACTGTAAAGAAAAACAACCTTGAAAGACTTAAGAATTCATGTTCAGTGGAATAACCAACCATGATTACAGAAGATAAATGATGTTCGCTACTCACCACCTCCTGACAGGGATAGACTCAAGGTGAAGAATGAGACATAAATTTTTGGACAAGGCCATTTGGGAAATTTGTTTGCTTGACTATATTTGTCACAATGGTTTTGTTTTTCTGTGCTTTTCCCCCCAAAGGGGTAGAGAGGGAGTCAGGAATGAAAAAGAATTGCTGAGAGGGATTACAAAAAAAGAAAAAAAAATAAAGATGAGAGGCTCACTGAAACACTTATTTTAAATGCACAGAAGAAAACAGAAGAAAGTACAGACAAGCAGGAGGACTTTAAAAGTTACATGTCAAATTTATTATATACTTAAGAGGAAAAGTAAGCTATACATATTAGTGATTTGGCATTTTATGTACAATCTTCTTTTCCTAATTTATTTTGTATGCAGAATTGCTCATCTTTTTGGTTACTGTTAAGTCCCAAATTTAAAAAAAACAAAAAAATTGTTTCTCTGTTGAAACTTCAGTTTGAGGATACCTAAAACTTGTACATTACACTGACCTAATTTATCTTTTAATTCAGAAAGGACCAAGGACTAGCAGAGCTGTTTATATTATTGACAGCATAGCTGTTTATCAATAATATTTTCCTCCAAAGGACATTAAGGTTTTAGATTTCTGAAGTAACATTAAATAAATTAAATATGATCATAAATACATTTAATCAAGAGTTTCATTTTTATGTAGCTAGTTGAAATGGATGACAGGAACCAGGGTTATTTTTAGATGGATATGATTTAAAGTGACCCATTCCAGGGGCAGCTAAGTGGTGCAGTAGATAAAGCACCGGCCCTGAAGTCAGGAGGACCTGAGTTCAAATGTGGCCTCAGACCAAACGCTTGGCACTTGTGACTGTGTGACCCTGGGCAAGTCACTTAACCTCAATTGCCTAAAAAAAAAATTTTTTTTTAAAATGATCCATTCCACATCTCTAAGGGAGATTTCTATTTTTGTCTTTGTGGAGAGTAAGAGAATAACTGTAATGGGGCAATCACTCCTTCTCTCTTATTTTTTTTTTAATTTTCAGTTCCAAATTCCCTCCCTCCAGCCTCTCCCCCACCCATTGAGAAAGCAAGCAATACAATACCCTTTGTACATGTGAAGTCATGCAAAACATATTTCCTTATTAGCCATACTGGAAAAAAAGAGGCTGGCAAAACAAAGTGCAAAAAAAAACCAACAAAAAACCTCACTTCAATCTGTAGTTCTCTCTGCTCTGTACTTCAATCTGTTCTCTCTCTGGAGGTGGATAGAATTTTTTATTATGAATCCTTTGGAACTGTCATAGACCATTTTATTAATCAGAGTAGTTAAGTCTTTCATATTTGATTATCATTACTGCAATACTATTACTATTATGTGTAATGTTCTGGTTCTGCTCAGTTCACTTTGTATTAGTTCATCTAAATTTTCCCAGATTTTTCTGAAACCATCTTTTTCATCATGTCTTACAGCACAACAGTATTCCATCACAATCATATATTGCACCTTGTTCAGTCAAACCCCTCAGTTTCCAATTCTTTGCCACAACAAATATAAACACTTTTGTACACACAAGTCCTTTTCTTTTTCCTTTGGTCCCTCTGGGATACAGACCTAACAGCAGTATTGCTGGGTCAAAGAGTATGCAGTTTTATAGTCCTCTGGGCATGGTTCCAAATTGTTCTCCAGAGTAGTTTGACCAATTCAGAACCCTACCAACACTGTATTAGTGTACCTATTTTTCCACATCCCCTCAAGCATTTATCATTTTCCTCTTCTGTCATACGATCCCCTCTTTCCTATTTTCAAGTGGGTTATTGGGCTAGACATATCTATTACACCTCAAATATCTGTAGTAAAATGCTCTTTGGAGGTTCAGAATAAAAAAGCCACTTTCCCTGGTCACTCAGGAGGAAGTAGGTCAGTCCCTTTCAGACTAGGAAGATTAACTTAAACGATCAGTTTAGCTCTCCTTCTACCAAATCTTTAGTATGCAAAAGCCAAGGATGAATAACCAGCAAACATCTTTCAAAGTAATCAGCAAAATTATACCAAAGGAAAGCACACAGACTACTTTAAGCAATATGACACACAAGAATCAGGCAGAGAAATTTTGTGACTTTGGAGAAAGATAAAATCTCAGCTTAACCTAGGAGAAAATGGTCTCCCCAACTCCGGCAGTTCTCTGGGGTTCAGACACTGAATCACAGAATTTTAATGTTAGAAGGATCTCAGAGGCCCTCCAGGCCAACTCACACACAAAAGGAATCCTTCCTATAACATAATGATTAAGTGGTCATCTGGCATCTTCTTGAAGATCTCTAAGAAGAAGGCACCTACTGCTTCTCAAGGCAAATAATTCCACTTTTGGATAACTCTAATTATTTTGGAGGTTCTTCCTGACAGGAAAACTAAATGTGCCTCTGTACTGTCCACCCTTCCTCCTGGCTCTACCCTCTGGGATAAAATGAAACAAGTTTAGTCCTTCCTCTACATGATAGCTCTTCAAATACTTGAAGACAACTGTTCCCCTTGAGCCTTCTCTTTTCCGGGCTAACCAAGCTCTATTCTTCAACCCTTCTTCATATTTCATGGACTCAAAGCCTTTCACTAGCCTGGTTGCTCTTCTCTAGACACTATCATATCAATGCCCTTCTCGAACCATAGAGCTCAGAGGTAAATACAAGACTACATCGGATGAGAGCAGTATACTACTGGATTACTATCTCTTTATTCCTGGAAGCTATATTCCTCTTAAAGGAGCCCAAGATTACATTAGCTTTTTTGGCTACTATATCATATCGCTGATTCATATTGAGCTTGCAGCCCACTAAAACCCTTGGGACTTTTTCAAAACAAATGCTATCTAAGTTTCCTCTCCAATATTAAACTTACTAAGTTGACTTTTTGTAACCAAGTGTAAGACTTTACATTTATCCCTATTGAATTTCACTTTATTAGATTTAGCCCTGTCAATATCATTTTAGATCCTATGTCATCCATTGTGTTAACTATCCCTTTCAGCTTTGTGTCATCTACAAAGCTAATTAGCAAGCTGTGCTAAGCAGGGCCTGATTCAGGCCAGTCCCTAAGCAGTTTAAGTTTTATATTGGAACATCATGATACATTGTGTTCATTCAACAGTTAACAAAAAAACAAACAGACAAAAACAAAACAAAACAAAACAACACTTACTTAGCCAAAGCAGGATAAGGATATTTAAAAAGGATAGGCACTAAGTACACCTTGAGTCAATTCAGATGAGTGATGCCCTTTATGGTTGCTTTGTACTCAGGAGATGAGGAAATGATATCAGTAGTCTGAGACTTTAGTCCCCTGAGCCAATCAAGTCTTGAGAAATGTCTCAATACCTCTTAAGAAAAAACTAGTCTAAATTATATGGGATAAAGGGTTTAGATATTGCTCTCATCGCACATGCTACTTATCTTTTTGTTTTGGTTACTGATATGTTAAATAGCACAAGACCAAGCACAAATACCTATGATAATCTGAATTCATCTGACTGTATAATTACTCAATAAATCGATAAACATTTATTAAGCATTTACTACATACCAAGCACTGTGCTAAACACTGGGAATACAAATAAAAATAAAAACAATCTAATGGATTATATAATGTATATAATATATGATGGCCTAATTGGTACCTCTCCATCCGCTCCACAAGAATAATAAAAGACACTTTGCTAAAGTATCAGTAAACTATATTTACAGCATCCCCTTCATCTACTAATTTAGCAGTCTTGTCTAAAAAGGAAATATTCTTGATAAAGCCATGCTGACTCTTTCTAATTTCTGTTTACCTTTCTAGATATTCACTCATCATCTTCTTAATGATCTGTTGCAGAATTTTCCCAGAAATTGAAACTACACTCACTGGCCTAGAGTTTGTAGGCTCTCCTGTAATATTATAGGGGGAAATGTGGATCTTTAATGAAATAGACGACTTCTAAGCATTCCTGATGAAAAGACCAAAGCTGCACAGAAACTTTGAAGTTCAAACACAACAGTGAAAAAAAAAACATAAAAAGTAACCATGAATGAAAAAAAAAAAACAAATAGATAAACTATTGGTTAATTTGATTTTTAAAAAGTAAAGAAGAAAACCAAATTACCAGTATCAAAAATGAAAAGGGTGAATTCACCATCAATGAAGAGGAAAATAAAATAATTACTCGGAGCCAGTTTGCCCAATTATATGCCAATAAATCTGATAATCTAAGCGAAATGAATGAGTATTTAC